TTTTTTAAAAGTCTGATTTTCCTATTTTGGGGAGTAATGTTAAATATTTAGAAATGTACCCACAAGTAAAGTGGTAAGATGCTGGGTTTCTCGATTGATCCACTCTAGAGATCAGGTGCTAGAACTCTGCTCCATAATGATGAACAGTAATTACTGCTGACTCTTGCTGGCTGCCGGCCCCTATAAGATCCAAGCAGAATGTCTCCATGGGAGAGGAACAAGAACAGAAGTTCTCAACCTTTTTCATATGGTTAGACCTTTAATTACAATGGGAAAAAAAATCAGGACTCTCAGCCATAAAGAAAGGGAGGATGGTCACACTCCCCTTGGACCTGTCTGCAACCATGGTGAAGGTTGTTACCCATGAACAAGAGACTGGGATAACGGCAATTCTAGGGACACCCCTAGGAATAGCCAATTTAGGCTGAGATTTATATTGTTGTAATCTATCAAGAATAAAGCCAACAATACAATACATGTAGACTCGATCCAACAAGAAGTAGAAAATTTACCTGTTTGTACCACATTTTTACATTTATGGGAGGTCACCAAATTCACCTGTGGTTCTAACATCTAATCAGACCATTACAGGGTCTAGGAGAAGGAAGTGGCACTGGTGATTCAGAAGGGGGGGACTGCTAGTCAGTACTGAATTTAACACTCTAGCTTGATAACTGTCTTCCAGAGGGCTTGTAAAATACAGGTGTTGACCACTTCTAGTGAATATACCTTCCATGATATATTCTACAATTGTATAGGCATCTGTCCTCGTTCAAATTCTATTCGTCTTACCTAAGCTACCCCTAATTTCAGTTGGATATGGTATACCAGAGTGTATTGTCAAACAACTGTTTTTTTTCACCAGTTGAGTGGAAAGCATAGAATGGCATGTCTACCTTGAGCAAATATGGGTAGGCAACACTGAAGCAAATGGGTTGCTGAATAAGCACAAGGTGCCAGCTGATAACTTCTGAGAATTGAGACTTAATTCCAGATCTGCCACGGACTTGCTCTCCATCCTTGAGAAGCCATTTAGGCCCAGATCCTCAAAGGGATTAAAATCAATGTTAGGTGCCTAAACACCTTTAAGGATCTAGGCCTTAACTGTTTTTATTGTCCCCATTTTCATACACAGGAAAACTACTCTGCCCCATAGTGATATGTTAATTAAGTTTTGCAAAGCCCTTTCGATTTAGAGGAAGCACAGCTAAACTATCATCTATTACATCTATTATGTGTAAACATTTCAGAATAAAAAAATACAGGAACTCAAGTCACACACACACATGCAAACACCAGAAGATGAAAAATTACAAGATGCATACATTAAAAAGAGATAATTTCAGTGGTACAGAATTAAATAGTGAGAAATAAGTGAAATACTACTTCATACATTTCATAGCCTGTAGGAATTCACAGAAAAGGCAGGTATGCCCTAAACTATTGTGGCTAGGTAATTTTATGACCAATAACACTGGTAGTTACATATACCAGGATGTAAGTATTCCAGACTCATAACTGAAGATATAAACAGATCACAGCGATTCAAGAAGTTTTCCCTGAGATGTAGGTTATTATAAAAGAGGTTAGGGGCATTAGAGATATTTTCAACACATGAACCATAGACAAGATACAAAATATGATGGATGGCTGCTCTGATTTGGTATAGCAAGTCTGTCTGGCTAAACAGTACTCCTAATAAACAATTATGAAACAAAGCAGTGATTATTTAACTAATAGGGCTGAACCTGCATGAAACTATACATATCATAACTTATCAGTGAATTCAAAATAGATATTCTTCAAAAGATTTATTTAAATTCATTCTTGTTATTCTGTGGAATTTAAACTGCCACATCAATCTTTTATTATTTGAATTACACAATAGCATCCTGAGGTCCAAATGCTGTTCCAATATATGAGAGACAGACCCTGCCCCAAGGAGCTTACAACTTAATTAGTATCCAAGGTAATTTTAAAATCTTGCAGTTTTATATGACAATACTATATAAATTAAGTGCTACAATAAGAAAATATGTAAAATGCAAAGGAGACACCCCACAATTTTTCTGCATCACACAATTTTAAATATTTTAGTATGATAATCTATGGATCTGGTGTGAACTTGAGATGTATTCAGTGCAACTGGCAGAAATAGGGGAATTCATTATGCTGCTCTTATAGGACTGCTGCTGCAAGCCTTGGAACATAGAATTGCAACTGAAGTCAACGGGAATGTCCTGGCCAAAGGAATGTTTTGAGTTTACTATGCTATCTGATTTTCTATAGGCTCTGCTGAATTAATTATCTTTCTGTGTAGTACTTTGGTGACTTATTGATCTCTTGATATGAAATGACACCAAATCTATGTAGTTCTGTTTTTCCTTTATGTGATTTCTAGCTTTGCTTTTATAAAATCTGAAAAATGAAAGTGATTTTAGGCTTGATTATACATGTATGCATGATGGGGCACGGGGATTAAAGTTTTAAGAAGTCAGATACTTTTCGGAAAACAAAAAAACTTCCAACACCCTATTTTTAGGCCTCTTTTATACATAAGGCAGTAAATAAAGACTTCAAACCTTTTTTCTTTTTCCTTTTCAGGTCACCTTTAGGTGCATCTTACAGCTAGAACTGCTAAAAGCATTAAAACTACTGACAATGTAGTAGTATGTAGCTGTAATCTATCTCCATCTTTAGAGATGGGAACATATCTTAGTGCAAATTTAAGGCACTATATGCATAATCATAAGTAAAGCCAACACGTGTCTACCAAAATAGATTATTTAAAGTTTACATACTTATAAGATTTAAGAATGAAAATATATTTTGCAGTCATAAAATTAAGTGTTCTTTTTCATTGTTTTGAGGTAAAAAGATGGTCCAATTTCACCAATTTACACTTTTGAATTACATAATTTGATGCTCCTCTCCCTTGAAACACCTATACTTTCCTCTAAGGAAAACTACAAGAAGAAACTGAATTAAAGTATATATTTCACTACACTTTCAATGAGCTATTTTTAATTCTCTAAAATTCCCAACTATGTCCTCCAGGAATTTAATGTTATACTATCTAATCCATAGCACAAAAGGTTATTGAGTATATAGAGTATGCATCTGTATGCAGTCCTGAACCAGTGTCATAATAGCCTTTCTGTTCTAAGGAACTAGCAAAAGGCTTATAGTCATATTTCCAAAGCAACCAGGGCTAGCATTTGTTTCTAGCCCAGGTATTAATTCAGACTACCGTAGTAGCTGCTATCACAAATAGTGCAACTGGAATCCAAAGCTTTACCATCTAAAAAACCCTCTGATTCCAGCTTTCTAATGGCATTAAACTATCTGTTGTTGTTTGAGATATTGATTGTTAAAAATCTCATCAGAATTTTGGGAGTGGGGAAGCAAGATATTAAAGCACAGGAATCAGTTAGAATCATTTTTTCAATACCTTTAATAGCCTCTCAATAGTTCAAAAAATGTTTCAATCCAAGGCACTTACCATGGCTCAACAGAATTAAGAGGAGAAATGTTTGAATAGCAAGGTCTTGATATTTTTCTTCAATTTATTTCACATTGGGATTTAGTTCCTTCCTCTGAGTTCAACATGAGCTGCTGTTTATAACTAGGCTTCAAATGACTTCTTGCATTTTATTGGAAGAGAGAACTGCAGCAGAGGGATTAACTTTCTTTAATACGCTTTAACAGTTAACATTTAAAACAAGTTAAAGCCATAATTGTAATGAATTATGTCACTAAGATCAAGGAATACTTTGGCAGAACAAGCAAAAATGCTTTCAGGCCCTGTTCTAAGCACTGGTCATGGACCAGTGGTCAAAAAGATATTTAAGCCTACGGCATCAGTTTGTACAGATCTTCATTAGGAACTCCACAAATCAAAATGCCATTTCAATCTTTCCCCTGCCTTTATGTGCTTCTTGACACATCAGTGTATAGATACATCTTATCTTTACCTGATCCTGCCATGATCCTTTGTGATGTGCATGGCTATCGTGGCACTAAAGTACAGGATCATTTTGTTAAGAGCCTCTCTCTCTTAAGGTAATAAGTTCCACTTTTTCATGCAACGTGACTCCCTGCTATTTGGGCAAAACCCTGCTCCAGATGAAGAATAAAACAGTTTGACACCAAATCTTTTCAAACAATTTAGGCATGTGAAATTCTGAGAATTATGGTTACAATTATTTGAAACAAACTAGAAAAACAATTGATATAATACACAGGTACATTTCATATTTTGCAAAATTCAGATTTTTTTTCAGAATAAACCCTACAGTGATATACAATGTTATACCAATAAAATAAAAATCAGCAGGATCTTATTAAAAGGGATAAGGCAAAATGCCACGTTGTGAATACAGAAAGAATCATAGTAAGCAGTCAGTTATAGCTCTAACATTCCATTCAATTTCACATTCATTCACACACACACAGGTTCTGCAAGGTTATCATCATAGTTACCAGCCTTAGAGTTGCTCAAGCCAAGCCACTGGCCAGGTGGCCTGGACATGAGGGAGCAGGGCCTTGTCAGATGCACATCTGATGCTCCTGGAAGTTGGTTTGCAGAATCAGACCCCAAAGTCCTCAGTCTTCAGAGTCTGTTCTTATAGGGTTCCATCCTCATGCATTTGCCTTGTCATGCTGGTCTCATGTTTGAAGTGGTAATCAATCACGCAGATGGCACAGCAATGACGGAATGACAGTATGTTGTTATCTGGTTCTTCGGCCCTCCTGTCCTTGGGGCAAGTATGCCCTCTGGGTTATCAGGCTATCTTGTCAATTGTATTCTTCAGCCAAACGGTCTTATTTTAAGGCTGGCATCTCAATCTTTAATCTTTCATTCCTCATTTAATCATACATACAATCACACTTACACTCCAACGTATATCCTGTCACATTTGCATTTTATCACCTACCCATCCTTTAACATAACCATTCTAAAATCAATGGGACATGGCAGACTTCAATAAATCTTATTCTGGAGTTTAGGAAACAAAGTTGTACCAGCCATAAAGCACAGCTGTTATCTTGTTACTTTTAGAACAAACTCTTTGTCTCTGGATGTTTTTTCTACAATTAGCACAGACCTTGCAAACTGGCAGGCCTGTTTCAATTGGCACAAACTCAGCAGGTTGAGAGAGCAAGCTGAGACACATTTCTTTCTAATGGTCAGGCCAAATCCGGGGTCTGTTCTGGAATCATTCTTTCTTACATTTTCCACAACATAAATGTATTATTTCTTTTAATTCAACACAAGAGATGCAAAGCATTCTCTTTCACACTTCCTCTTCCCACCCCGTTCCCCTGCTCAGAGCAGTTCTGTGGGTCCCCTGAAATAACCCCCATTTTGATCTACTTTACTTCTCCCACACCACAACCGTTATCCTAAGTACATGGGTCTTCTTTCTAAGCTCATCGATATTGCTCCTTAGTCATCTGCAGAGGACACTATTGAAAATCCAGATACATTTTCTCCCGAATAACTGAGCATGCTGACCTCAGTCTGGTCAGGAACAAAGACAGACTTCCACATGAAGCTGGTTCTCCTCCATGGCAAAGAATCAGAACTAGGTACCTGGATCAGCATTCAACTTTCATCCCAAAAGACTTGTTTTACAAGACAGACAATATTATATTTAAAGCCCTCTGAGTAGAAATATTGTTTAACTTGCCAATAGAATGCCTATCAATAGTCTCATCTCATTACATTTTGAAGGGCATACACAAGAGGTGACCAATCATTTTTAATTGCTGTTTGGATTAAGTAACTATTGCAAACTAAAGATTTGGGATATGACTGTCCCATGACTACAGCCCTCTCTCTTCTTTTCCACACAATTACAACCAGCTTTGTGTTGGATGCATCTCCTGTTTCTGTCCTTATTAACTCAATTACATCATCACCAACTGTATCCTCTGGTATCATGTTGTGGAACAGCTGATAAGTACGGCCCACATATGCCAGAGTATATACAAAAGCACCAACTACTGTGCTGCCTTAAAAGTGCTGGAAGGACGCTACACTGGCATGGAACAAGGACTTCTTTATAAATATACAATCCCTCCAAATGGACTCTGGGTAAAAAAGAAATTAGAAAAGAACACTTAGTTGTTGCATTTACTCAATGGGTTGTGGGAAGGTTCTATGTGAGTTGCAGGCCTGCTCTGGAGGGGAGGCCTGGGGGTGAGGGTGGTGGAAAGTAAGCATGCCTTGCTTTCACCCTGCAGCGGCAGATTCTGTTCCCCAGGACTGGGCCTGGCTTCCCACTGTGGGCATTGTGATCTGGCATACGAGGTCACAGCACCACTCAGGTTTGAAAAGTGGCTAGGCCAAAACGGAGTGGCACTGAGACCTCATCTGAGTTGCAAACAGATCATTGCAACAATGGGCTAGTACATGAGATTAAAGAAGTGAAGCTATAGACATTTTAGTTTTAAGTCCAAGTTGACTGCTATAAAGCCAATATTTTACACTTATTGCACCTTTTGGGATCTCACTTTACAAAGGCAGGCATCATTCTCCCCATTTTACATAAGACGTGCCCAAGGTCAGAGTTAATAGCAGAACCAGAACTCAAATCTCCTAATTTCCAATCCCCTGCTCCAACCACTATACCATGTACTGACTCCTGGAGTGTGTGCACTGCCTTATTGTTTTGTAAACAAATAGCATTAAGAGTGACAGTAAATTATTTTTTTTCCAATTCACTGCTCACATATTTTAGTGTTATCAGTAACACAGGTAAATCAGTCACTTTATAATGACAGTCTCCCCTTTATTCTTTAGCATCTTGATTTAGTGCAGATATCTTGCTGCAATAAGAACCAGGCATTTGATGCCCGAGAAAAAATGCACAGAAGGAGCTACGATATTATCTTTTGCTGGCTGGCTGTATCAGCAAGAACATTCAGTTATCACCTATTACTGCTACAGTAGAAATTAAATTGCTCCTGTTATATGCTAACTCAGCAATGGTGATCATCTTGTAAATACAAATTCTTATAATATCTAAGAGTCAGGAAAGGTGAATGGGAAGGTAATCCCAATATGCAAGAATTACTCCAGGACATAGCTAATGTTGTAGGAGGGAACGGAGATTACATGAAATAGTCCTTCTGTCTTGTATTGCAAAAGATTATCCGCAGATTATCTCCAGTAGCAGGGACAGCAGTAGTAGGGCAGGGATAATGGCCCAGCCAGTGCTTCCTACCATCCCTCCTGGAGAATGAAGACACACTTCTCCATTAGCAGAGACTGAAGCAGCACAACTTCCCAGTATCTGAGCTACCCAAGCCTATACTTAACAGATAGGCTGTTGTCTTGTACCTGGACACTTAGAGGAACACTCCTTGACACCTCCCACCCCCCACCAGCCCCACTATCAAATGTACAGGGGAAATAGGAAAGAGTTAGTTAATGAGGGAGAATAGTGGCTGAGGAGAGTGTAAACAAGTACTCTGGCTAGGAATAAAATTTTAGTGGGTTGTGCTTATATACATATAATATACACACATTTTACATATTATATAAAGGGCATAGGTTGTGGGGAAGAGACAATTTTCATAGTTTATGCAATGTTCAAAGGTCTGGTGGAAAAATTTTAGATGCAAATAAGATAGCAAAGACTATATGCATGTGAATGGATGGCAGGGTATGTAGAAGAGTGATCAATGTTTTCTGAATTTTGAAATTTCAATTTTTAAAAATTACTATGAATATTCCTCTCTCCCCACCACACCAGCTCTAGTAGACATATAATGCAGAGCATACATTAAAACAAGAAATACATATAACTAACCTGAGTACCCATATTATTCTACTGTTGTTTTCCACTCTCCCATTTTTCCTCACCCCTTTGTTCGTAACTATTATTGTATCATGTCAATTTTAGACTATATTCCTTAGGCCACGGAGAAGGAAAATAGGTCTTATATTTGTAAAGGATATAAACATTTTGGGGCACTGTGAAAGAGTTAATCGTAATAATTAAATATTCTGACACCCAAATCCAAAATGCACAAGTATTTGGTCTCATACTATTTAAAATATAACAAATATACAGTAGAGTAGCAAAAAACGCAGTACATTTTATGCCATATTTCCAAGAGCAACAACAGTTGCCATTATGCTGCTGGAGAAGATGCAACGTTTGACTTCAATCCCATGCACACAGAACAACCTGTTAACTGCCATGCCTACACATGGTTTAAACAGTTTTTTTCCCTGTGTAGACAGGCTGTTGCATCTCATGCGACTTTTATCTTCTGATTTGTGCAGGGGACAACATAATCTTTACTGATGGACTTCTAAGATTTTGAGCCCATTTCTTATTATTTGCATCGCAATATAGTCACTGAAACAAATTATTTGTTTCAAAACCAGCAGGTTTTGATTTAGAAATTTATGTTCCTGTTATTTTCCAAGACTTCATCATACAGCCAGCTTTGACTAAATTCTTTAGAGTGTTCCATAGCTTCAAAAAGGCGTCTGTATTCTTCTGGGTACAAATTGCCTGTTATAATGTTTTCCGGTATTTCTAGCTCTCTTAACAGTTTACTCCCACTGCCTGGACTCCATGAGCTGAAACACAAGACATTACAAAAAAAAGTCATGTTTTAGCATTTCTTTCAGTTAAAAAGAAAACAACAGTAAGATGCAACACTGGGCACTATTAATTCTTACTCAATTTCAGGCTGTCACGAATTCCCTCCTGTGACACCAATTGTTTTCTGTGAATGCTGACGATAGGGGCCTCTGTCCATTAAATTCATGAGTTTAATCACAAACTTTTCAGATGGTGAATTTTTCCCTCCATTCATTGTACAACTGAAATAATACAGAACCTAGGGCATGAATGGGTTTAGATTCCAATGTCTGGGGACAATGAAAGGCATGTTTGTTATGAGGGTGAGAGTCTGAAGGGTTTAATTACACCTCCCTTTTCCCCACTACATGAGGTGATCTGTTTTACTGTACCCACTATCTCTCCCACTCATATTATGTCACTGCTATCAAATTTAGGCCTTGAACAGTTCCTACAGATATCTTGACTGCATTTATTTTCAAGGCAAGGAAAAAGTACGTTTATTAATTCACAGTAGCTGCAAATTAAGAAACACAAGGCCAGCTACAGATTCTGGCATAAGCAACTAGTGGAAAGTAAGCACACTGTCAATTTGACAATCGACAAGAAAGGAATCTATGATACTCTTTTATACCAGTCTTGCTGAATGAGTTATAGAACTTCATTAGCATATTGCCGGGGGGATTATCCACCCACCGGCAGATTGACTACAAACCACTGGCAACAAATGAAAGAAAAAACAGTTTATTTATTGGAATAGTTAGCCAGAGGCTGGTTCTTCTGAGGGAGCATTCATTTCCCATGAATGGAAAGAGAACACTAATAACCACACCACAGGGAGTAAATGGAGTAACAGTGGATAAGAAAGCCTGAATGTCTTACAGTGAGGGGCTAAAAAAATATTGGTAGTCAAAACTGACAAATAATTTAAAAGCTTAATTTATAAATTAGATAGTAGAAAACCACTTTAGGGCATCCAGTCTGACCCACTGCACTGTGCAATCTATTTTCAACAGTGTTTTGTTTAGTCTACTTTTGATTTTGGTATTTTGTACATATTAAACTCAATTTCTACTCAGCTTTATGCTGCATGTATACATAAATCAAATGGAATAGCGAGAGCAGCTATTCAAAGGAAGTTTCCTCTCAGCTAAACCACACATGCTTGTGACGTGCGAATGTAATGCTGGCAGATTTCTTTTAAAAACAGTGTACACATGTGAATTACTTTTTAAAAGCCATAACTTATTCAGATCAAAACCAATTTTCACCTAAGCACTGAAAGGCATATCTATGACCTAGGGACTATGTCCCTACCAAACTTCAAGTTTCCATCACCTCCTACTGAGGGCTTAGAGCTGTTACAACAACAAAAAACTACCAAATTTTGTTTAGAGAAACATCTTATCCTAGTCTGCCTGTGCTTAAAAACAGCCATTTTTATTTATTTCCTGAGCGAGAACATACGAACCAAATTTCACCTGAAAAAGGAGTTATAAGGTTGAGCAACACTAATAGAGTTGTTGCTGTATGATCAGCCTAAAATTGGTGGTTATTTTGCTTGTTGCAGCTCAACAGTCCAACTTCTCTACGTTGCACTGTGAGTTTGATTGTTCTGGGTTTACTAGCCTTTTGTGATTCAGTTTACGCTAGGTTCCCTCTAACTAACAGAAACGCTATTAGAATTGGCATCCCTCCTGCACTCTGCATAATGTAACTTGACACATTTTCCCATTAGGACACTATACCATTAATGATGACTAGGGCTGTCGATTAATCGCAGTTAACTCACGCGATTAATTCAAAAAAACTAATCATGATTTAAAAAATTAATCACAGTTTAATCGCAGTGTTAAACAATAGAATACCAATTAAAATTTATTAAATATTTTGAATGTTTTTCTACATTTTCATATATATTGTATTCTGTGCTGTAATTGAAATCAAAGTGTATATTATTTATCAAATATTTGCACTGTAAAAATGATAAATGAAATAGTATTTTTCAATTCACGTCATTCAAGTACTGTAGAACAATCTTTGTTGTGAAAGTGCAACTTAAAAATGTAGATTTTTGTTACATAACTGCACTCAAAAACAAAACGACGTAAAACTTCAGAGCCTACAAGTCCACTCAGTCCTACTTCTTGTTCAGCCAATCGCTAAGACAAACAAGTTTGATTACATTTACAGTAGATAACGCTGCCCTCTTCTTGTTTATAGCATCACCAGAAAGTGAGAATGGGCATTTTCATGGCATTGCGAGGTATTTACGTGCCAGATATGCTAAACATTCGTATGCCCCTTTTAGCTTCGGCCACCATTCCAGAGGACACACTTCCATGTTGATGACGCTAATTAAAAAAAATAATGTGTGACTGAACTTCTTGGGGGAGAATTGTATGTCTCCTGCTCGGTGTTTTACCCGCAATCTGCCATATATTTCATGTTATAGTAGTCTCAGATGATGACTCAGCACGTTGTTCATTTTAAGAACACTTTCGCTGCAGATTTGACAAAACGTAAAGAAGGTACCAAAGTGAGATTTCTAAACATAGCTACAGCACTCGACCTAAGGTTAAGAATCTGAAGTCCCTTCCAAAATCGGAGAGGGACGAGGTGTGGAGCATGCTTTCAGAAGTCTTAAAAGAGCAGCACTCCAATGCAGAAACTACAGAACCCAAACCACCAAAAAAGAAAATCAACCTCTTGCTGGTGGCATCTGACTCAGATAATGAAAAAGAACATGCGTCGGTCCGCAGTGCTTTGGATTGTTATTGAGCAGAACCCGTCATGAGCCTAGACGCATGTCCCCTGGAATGGTGGTTGAAGTAAGAAGGGACATATGAATCTTTAGCGCAGGGGTTCTCAAACTGGGGGTTGGGACCCCTCAGGGGGTCGCAAGGTTATTACATAGGGGGTTGCGAGCTGTCACCCTCCACCACAAACCCCGCTTTGCCTCCAGCATTTATAATGGTATTAAATATATTAAAAAGTGTTTTCAATGTATAAGAGGGGGTCACACTCAGAGGCTTGCTGTGTGAAAGGGGTTACCAGTACAAAGGTCTGAGAACCCCAGCTTTAGCGCATCTGGCATGTAAATATCTTGCAATGCTGGCTACAACAGTGCCATGCAAATGCCTGTTCTCACTTTCAGGTGATATTGTAAATAAGAAGCGGGCAGCATTATCTCCTGCAAATGTAAACAAACTTGTTGTCTGAGCAATTGGCTGAACAAGAAATAGGACTGAGTGGACTTGCAGGCTCTAAAATTTTACATTGTTTTGTTTTTGAATGCAGTTTTTTTGTACATAATTCTACATTTGTAAGTTCAACTTTCATGATAAAGAGATTTCACTACAGTACTTGTATTAGGTGAATTGAAAAATACTATTTCTTTTGTTTTTTTACAGTGCAAATATTTGTAATAAAAATGAATAGAAAGTGAGCACTGTACACTTTGTATTGTAATTGAAATCAATATATTTGAAAATGCAGAAAACATTCCAAAATATTTAAATAAATGGTATTCTATTATTGTTTAACAGTGTGATTAATTGACAGCCCTAATGATGATTCTTTTTAATCATTATCAGGGATACAGTTTTTAATCCATATGTAAAGGTGGGACAGTCCCTGTCTGCCCCGTTGCAGCCCAGTGTTGCACTGTGGGAGTGCCCACCTTCATTCGCCTGCTTAACAGCAGCAGATTCTTTTTAAAAGCCAGGGGCACAGAGTCGCCATCACAAATTAACAGAAGAGCATATCCTCTTTTAATAAGGCTCAGGACAGGAGCAATTCAAACAAACAGTTCATAAGGCCCTCACTTCTGAATCCTGCTTCTGTTCCCACACACTAATTGGACTAGTCTCCTAGAACCTGAGAGTAAAGAACCCACCACAGCCTGCATGGCTTCCACTTCCCTCTCTCTGAGCTCCCTCTTCCTGTTTATATAGCCCAGCCCTAGGGCAGGGCAGGACCTCCTCAATTTTACCCCAGCTGTTGGCTCCAGCCTGTGGTTCAGGGACTAGTGCATGCCTGCACACCACAGTACAATATTTTTAGCTAATTACTTTTCTAAAGTATTTTAATGCAGCATTATGTAGAATGTCTTGTTGAAATTCAGATTTATATACAAACCCAAAAATATAATGGGAAACCCGAATATTTTAAAGAGCATTTACAGAAACAAAGCCAGGTAAAGAAACTTGTTAATAAATTGACAGAGAAGAAAATTTTAACATGCAAGAAGCTAGCACAATTTATAAAATTTAATAATTTCCAGACTACATTATCTCCTGATCTCTTTTAGAATGAACACACAAACCTCTCTTCTAAACTAGCAACAGAGTGTCCTGTGGCACCTTTAAGACTAACAGATGTATTGGAGCATAAGCTTTCGTAGGTGAATGCCCACTTCGTCGGATCAGCAGTGCTGACCAGAGCCACCAGGGTCCCTTTTCGTCCGACGAAGTGGGCATTCACCCACGAAAGCTTATGCTCCAATACATCTGTTAGTCTTAAAGGTGCCACAGGACTCTCTGTTGCTTTTTACAGATCCAGACTAACACGGCTACCTCTCTTCTAAACTAGTTCCATTATATAGTTTCATGTGTTAAAAAATATCCAGCTACAGAGCTGTGGGTTGGCAATGCTGATTTTGACATGCAACTTAATATTCTTATGCATGTTTGCAAAATGCATTTGAGAATACATTTATGTAAGAAAAAAATACTGGCAAGTATGTCTGCATTTAAAAAATAAATATTTACAGTATGCCATTACTCAGCCCCACAAATGGCAGAGTAATTTTTAATTTGTTGCCAAAATCTTCATTTCCAATCACATAGTATTTTGAGCAACTGTAAACTTATTCTATATGTATTTGTATGGAATTAAAGGACTAGTAAACTGTATCTGGACTGTAAAGAATAATCCTTCAAGAACCAGACACTACTAAATTGTCCGGAACCTTCAGTCATTTGTCTGGTGAAAAATTGTAATATAACTTTTCCATATACTTACTTAAGTCTATCAATTAGTTTAGACTTGCGTTTAGCAAGACACTGTTTTACCATAAGAATAAAGGTAGATGAATTTGTGGTTGTCATGCCACCTGTAAATAAATTCCTCTGTGGGGTCATTCGTACTAAACATAAGTGGTCGTTTGGCAGCAGCTGCAACAACAACAAAAAGTTAATGAAAAAAGGTCATAATTAAGATTGTATTTCTTTAAATCACAGGGAAAGACTTCTTAAAGTAAACCACTCTTTTAGTTAGCAGAAAAAGGCATAATGAGATCCAACGGGTTGGCAGCTGAAGCTAGATAAATACAGACTAAAAATAATGTGCAATTCTTTTTTTAAACCGTGAAGGTAATTAACCACTGATGGTGGATTTTACATCACTTTGAGTTTCTAAATCAAGACTGGCTATTTTTCTAAAAGATATGCTAAAGCTCAAACATAAGTTGTAGGTTTGATGAAGAAATTTTCAGATGAGGTTATTTTGGCCTGTGTTATGCAGGATGTTACATTAAATAATCATAATGGTCCTTTCTGGCTTTGAAAAATCTGAATCTAACTCATATTAATTATCTGTCTTTTGGACAAATATGGAATACTGTGGTGTAACATTTGTTAAGACTGTCCTCCGATCTGAGAGGTGTATGAAGAACTTCTTTTTATCCTTAAAAGATAAAGATAGTTTTGTACTGGCAGAAACAGATATATGACCCAATAGATCTTTTCCATCTCTAATTCCCCTGACTCTATGAAGTGGTCTTAACGTATCTTATGCAATCCATTTGGTGTGCAGCCATCACTTAAAGTGTCACCTCATATGACCTATACTATAATTATGGTGACATTTGATGAGTCTATAAAGCTGTCAAATATGATATAATCAAAAAATTCAAAGTAACATTCAGTATTACCAAAACCCGAGACCTTTATGGGTTTTATTGCTAAAATCTTAGATTAAAGAGAGACATCATTGGGTAATGTAATATACTGCTGAGTTTTAATACCAAAGTTCTATAAAAATTGATAGAAATGCCTTCTTTTTTATAAACTTCAGGATTTTGTTTCAATTTAAACATTGTCCCTGGCAATTTAAACTATTATATCTATAGCCCAAATTTTGCATCATTGTGCTAGCATGAGAACATGAATTTGCAACTAAATAGTCTATTTTCATCATCCAACCTGCGTGAAGTACAAATATTACACAAAACATTAGAAGCAAAAGTGGATTTTGATTTTTTTTTCCAATTCTGTTTTACTAATCTAAAGCGTTATTACTAGCAGGTAACAAAATATATTTTTAAAAGAGATGATCCTTAACCCAATTGTCCCTTCAAAAAGTCTCATTTTCTTCTTTTCCCATTTATTCTGTCTTCTGCATTTCTGTCACCTTGGTTAATAAAAAGATACTAGTTGGGTTCAGTTTGACTTTTGTTTATAAATCACAAATCCATTCCTATAATGAAAGGGAGTATTTAAATAAAAAAAACCCATTTAAATTAAATAAAGGGAATTTATGAATTTTCTTATCAAAATTTGTAATGCAATTAAAACCTCCAAAATCTAAAATTTGAGCCTAAATTGTTTGACAGCATCTCTAACGAAACAGACCATAAGTGTTGATCTTACCGTGCTCTTCGGTATTGCAAGTCCCCTGGTTTTTGAATTAGTCAAAAATGAAGACCAAGGTTCCTGGGAGGGAAAAAAAAAAGTTAAAGTTTAAAATATTTTGTCATGGCTTCATAATTTTTTTTTAAGTCTTTTTCCAATTATTACACAAAAACGTACTTGTTTCTAAAACTTGATCTAAAATGGGCTGAATATATTGAAAATAAAAACATGAATTAAAGTATTTTAAAAGAGTACAATGGCCCAGATTCAGGAAGTTACTTAAGCATGTACCTAACCTTAAGGATGTGAGTAGCCCTATTTACTTCAGTGGAACTACTTGAGTGCTTAAAGTTAGGCACCTATTTAAGTAACCTTCCTGAATTGGGCCTTAAGCTGCAAAACTGTGGACAAAAGAATTATTTCTCCAGAAAATAGCTCCAGATTTCCAAGTTCTTCCCACCTTTTGAAATATGGTCTTTTACAGCCAAAATTATACATGAACGTTTGTATTGGCTTAATTTCAGCATGAATCCCTTGTATGTCAAGCAACTGCCAATTCATATATGCTATAGTTCTGTCTACAGCTGCCTACTGCTTGTTCATCCTGGATTGGGTCCTTCATGTCCACCCATCTTACACTCTCTTGTGCACAGTGCCTGGATGCACCTCTCTGCCAATGGGTTCTGTCTAAGTATTTATCTGGCCCCTATCACTATTGTATCTGAGCATCTCCCAAACATTTATTACTGTATGGTCACAGCCCCTGTGATGTAGGTCAGAAATATTTCCATTTTACAGATGGGAAGTGAAGCACAAAGATTTGAATGACCTTGAACAAGTTCACAATCTGTAGCAGAGGCAGGAACTGAACCCAGATCTTCTAGGTCCCAATGCAAAGCTCCAACCACAAGATCATCCCTCTTCCCTGGTGCCTGAATCCCCTTTCCTACCCCTCCATCCTTCAGTCAAAGCACGAGCCAGAGTCAAATGAATTACGGTACCATGCCTTGGCTACAAGTGGGAAACAGTGTTCTCGCTGTATAATTTACACATGATGGCGAGCAGCTTTTACTTCGCGCATAGGCTGTAGCAT